GAAATGGGTTCATTCCCTCTTGATAGCAAGCCAGTCCTCCCTTGGCTCTGGTTACGATTCGAAGCTCTGCCACACCCTGGACTTTCTTCCTAAAGGTTGTTCCCAGAATGGCACTGGCAGCACAGGGCTGGACATTCCTGCAAGGAGACGCTCCGCAAATCCTTGCTGACCAAATGGGTGAAGGAATAAAGCCTGGAATTGCTAAAATGTTTCCAAAATTCTACGATCACACATTTACTCATTTGATCCTCAAAAAAAAAAAAAACCCATGATGCTGGTGGTATAATTATTATTATGCTCATTTCACAGGTGTGGCAATCTAGAGATTAAGTGACTTGCCCAATTCGTGTAACTCTTAAGTGGCAGAGTTAAGACTTAAACCTGGGATTAAAAAATTTTTTTTTTTAGTTTCTTGTTTTCTTCATTAGACCAGTTTGGCTCTCTATTTCATTCATGGGTTGCATTACTTATGGTAACAAAGGGCCCGTGGTCACCTTCTGACCTGTCCTCAAAGTCACAGAGTCATGAGGATGGCTACCCAAGGGGACTTCTTCCATTCCTGCTGGCCGCCTCGCCTGCTGATCTCTGATGCCAGACAGGTGACCACCAGGAGTACATGCCTGGTCTTGGCGCTCGGAGGCCTGCAGGAGGGCGGCGGATCTGTTCAAAATTATACCAGCAGCAACTTAAGACTTCCCATTAGCTTGAAGACTAAAATTCCCAGGTATAGAATTCTAGGCAACTACGCAGTTACCACCTATTTTATTTCCAACTATGACTGAGACCAAGGGATGATCGGAAAATTGGGAGAATTAAAGAATAGGAAAAAAGTTAAAAATAAAAGATTATGTGGGAGTTTATCTGAATGGAAGATGACTAGAGGTAAGGGATGGAGAACAGGCTCCGTGCTGGGCGCCGGCTCTGAAGGGGCGGCTGTGGCTACTTGCTGCGCTGTGCCGAGAACAGATCTGAGCAGAATCGGGGTCCAGTAAGGAGGATGGCACCTACCGGCAGTGTCTGCTGTTGGTTCAGGAGCAGAGTGTGGGCATTTTGAGCCATGTAGAGTGGTTGGCCGCCTGGTGTAAAGCTTGCAAAAAGAAAGGGAAAGGGAGTGCAAGGAAGGAGCTCAAAGTCAAAAGTATTTGAAAAAGGAAAAATCAGACAAGGTGATCTGAAGTGAGGCACTAGCAGAAAGAGACACTTAACAAAAATAAAGTTTAGGTTAAACAGGAAAGGAAAAATTCCCCACACAGGAGAGTGAGACGGGCACCTCACCAGACCATGAGGGCGGCCACCATCCACATGGCCAGGACAACCTGGATTGGGGGCGCTGGGGGAGGGGAATGTACGGGTGAGACTCCTCAGGTGGCTCTTGTCTTCTGGCTCCCTTTTACCTGGAAACCAAGAGCTGATGGCACCAGGCGGGGTAAAGTCCAAGGAGACCCCCAGCTCCCATCACTGGAGTAGAGGAGGCTAGGCCAGGAAAGTTCTGCTAAAGGCCTCCTTCCCACCCAAGCCCTGGAGTCAGGCCCTAGGCCCCCTCGCCTAAAGCTCCGAGTGATCTGTAGGAGTTAGAAGTTAAATGCTGAGCGTGTGGGGTGTGCAAGGGTGTGCAAGGGTGTGGGTGCAGCGCGCTGGCAGGCCACTGCCCAGCCTCTCCTCTGAATGCAGACCCCGCCTCGGGTAATCCCACCTACCGCTCAGCCTCCCTCGCACATCAGCCAACCAGCAAAACACAGTCCCCATTCTGCTCAGGAATGTGCTTTCAGAAACTTAATCTAACGGCTGCGTCCGGGCCAAATCCCCCAGTGGCATTAACCCAAAGACAGCACCCCGTTCTCTCGCCTCCAACTCCCCCGCTGCCTTCCCGCCACCCCGTCTTTGCCTCCTCCAAGCTTGGGAGGCCACAGTTCCACCCCAGCAACTCCCTCTTCTCCATGGCGCAGCCCCAGGGCCCGCTCTCCCCAGCTCCAGCACTCTCCTTCCTTCTCGTCAGGCCCAAACATTTCACTTCTGATTCATGTCTAAGTGACAAGCCAACAGTTCTTGGCTTTCAAACAAGTCTCGCTCAGCTTCTGCACAAGCCCCTTCTTCTCTCACTGTGCCTTGTTGGGTTCCAACCAGACACTTCCCTTTGTCCTCTCTGCCAACTGCAGATCCCTTCAAGCACCAGAGAAACAAGCAGCCAGGAATATTTTAAAAATAAAGGCTATAAATTGTCTCTCCTCACACACATACACCTTGAAGCAGGAGGAGGGCTCCAAGATAAATCTTCCACTCTCCAACTCTCCCTTCTCCAAACAATAAAAGGTTCAGCCTGGCTCCTAATTAGGCCCAATGAGCGGTTATGGAATTTCTTGAGTCTCCACAGACGCGTGCTGCCCATTTGCAGATGAAACCTCCCTCCTGGGTGAGCAGTGCCCTTCAAGGGCACAGGCGTTGCTGAAAGGCGCTCCTCATTTGTAATGAGGAAAACACAGGAAGCGCCCTAATTGCCCAGCAACATAGGAAAAGGGTTCGGTACATGACAGTGGAAGGTGAAGTTCTAGGGCCATTAGTAATTGGGATCATAATCCTTGGCGGGGGTTGGGAGGAGGGATTAACGAGGAAGGGGCATGAGGCAACGTGCTGGAGGGATGGATACACGGTGCACACATATGAAAAAGAATGCATCGCTTGTTCACTTAGGATGAGTACACTTTGTGTACTTTGTACATATTTCATACTCAATAAAAAGAAAAAGTAAATTATGGCCATATGGCCAATGGAAAATGCTTATCATATAATATCTGGGGGAAAAATAGGAATAGAGAATGTATGTTCAGTTTCTATAATGACATCATTGCAACAATGTAAAACTGTGGGTATGGATAAAGGCTAGAAGGCCATACTCCAAAAGATAATGGTGGTTGTAGAAAGATGGTGGGCATAGGGTACATTTTATATATGTTCTAAACCCTCTATAATGCAATTACAATTATAATTTTAAAATATTAAAGTGGAGGTAGGAAGTACAGCTCTGACCTCAGCCCTTCCTGATGTGATGAGACGACCACATCTCCCACCCTCCACCCTCCTCACCCAAGCCTCCCGGGGCCTCCCCATGCACACGCACAGCTGGAGGGGAGGGCCCAGCACCCAGGCTCCATGGGGGCTCCTTCTGCCACAAAGGGGGGTGGCTCCCTGTGTGTGGCTCCAACATGCAGCCCAGAGGCAGCTGAGGACACACCGCGCCTTTCCCCTGCGGAAAGGGCAGGGCTGCTTGACTGTTTCCCAAGCAGGCAGGAATACTGCCGGCAGCCTCCGCTCACTCTCCCACGGAGCGAGGCTTCTCCAGAGATCTGGGACCCGAGGGCAGGGAGGGGCTTTTCTCCCTTGCTTTTCCACTTCCCCATCTCTCCCCACTCTTCTCCCAGCACTCACGCCTCACTCATCCTAGGACCCCACCTGGGTTGGGTAGAGGGGCATTTCAGAAGTTTGCTGCCTTAGGTAGGACCCATGATATAGGCACACCGACCTCCTGTAACCACGTCACCCCTGAGAGCCATGACGACGGTGACGTGGAAGCCCAAGGCAGGGCCTTCAGGGACGAGGGGCACTGCTAAGTCATGAGGGAACAGGTCCTGGAAATCTTCTCAGAGTTTAAAGGCAAATTCCACTATAGTCTCAACAAGTTTCCCTATTTTCTACACTTTAGGCTCTAGGAAAGGGGCCAAGTTGGAGGCAGTTCTTTAGGCTCAGCATATAAGAATGGGTATTGGGGCTGCCTTCAGTCAAGTCTCACGATCCCATATGTATCATGGGTGGGAAAACTGATAATGTACGTATTGTGCCTGGGACATAGCACACACAGGTGGCAGTCACACACAGAGGTGGTGTGTCTGCTGCCCACGTCCATCTGGCCGAATACAATGGGGCTTAGTTGGGGAGACTAGGGTGGCAATTAGGAACTACTGTCCTGGACAAGACTCCTCTTCCAGCCGTGACTGTGTTGAGTCATGTGGCCCCTGCTTTGCTCCATTGGGTCCTTACAAGATACACTACTTAAGTTATTTTGTAAAAACTATGCCTCGCTTTCACAAGCATAAAAGAAATAAGAGCAGTCATGCGGACAATCTGGCAGGAGTGCATGAACATGGAATTCACTAGAATTATTCGGTTGAGAGGGACCCTGGAAGCCATTTGGCCCTTGCTTTCCATACGCTGGCCTGAGCACCTACGTTATTTGTAATGTAATCATCAGAGAAAGTAGAGATCAGAGATAACACTGATTCCATATCACAAATAGAATGTCTACAGACGTGATGATTTTAATAAACTGAGGCAATAACATAAATAAAAGAATGGCAAAACTGAAAAAAAAAAAAGAAAAAGAAATGGTAGTATAAAGTTTTGTCATTCTCTTTGACTGAACTGTCACCTGATCTCTTCCTTCCTTCTCTTCTCTTTATCTCTTTGACAATTTCCTTTTCATCACATTCTAGTACTTACATATCAGGCCCCTGGAGTACGCTTGCTCCTCCGAGACAGGAAGCCAGATCTGGGATGGGCAGGCTCTGTTCGGACTACAAATTGCCCCAGCTGAAGCTCTGACTGTAAGCACTGAAGAGAACGGAGCAAGGGGGCTGGGAGGCGACTGGGCAGCTGGCACACCGCACCTGAAGCCACAGGTGACTGAGAAGAAGGGCACAGCACGGCCCAGCTCTGGGGCCACAGAAACAGTTCGGCCACGTGGAGGGCACCGACCAGTTTCCCTCTCTGTAGCCACGCTGCAGACACAGCCCCTACTCAGAGAGAGGCTTCCCAGGGACACAGGTGTCCCCCACCACTGGGGATCATTGGGCAGCTACCGTTCGTTCTCTCATATGAAATTTCAGCAGTTAAGGTCCCTTTTAGGAATGATGCGGGCAGGAAGGGTGGAGCAGGAGGGGAGTGGGGGAGGGGAATGTGAGAGGGGAGGGGGGACTGCACGAGGCAGAGACTCAAAGGCGTAGACTCACTGGCTAGCGTCACAGGGGCTGGCACACTGGCCACAGCCCCCGCAGGCATCCGGGCCACACACTGGTAGCGTCCCACGGTGTGGTTGCTGAGGGCAGTGATGACTAGGGTTCCATGGGTGATGAGGACACCCAGAGCATCATCTGAGCCATTCAGCTCCTTCCCGTTCAGGCGCCAGGTGACGTTCATCCGCGGAGGCTCCACCACACAGCCCAGGATCACAGTTCCTCCGAGCTTCTGGACAGTGGACGCGGGCTGCACGGTGACCTGAGGGACCTCGTCTGGAGGAAGAACAGGGAATGCAGCAATGAAACGATGCCCCCCCAAAAACCAACATCACCTTTTCAGAAGCATAGCACTCAGGCAGTTTTTCAGAGTTGGGCACCAAAGGAGTTGATCTTTCTCTGAGTAACTCTACTGTCTTGTCCATGTCCCAACCTGTCTTTGTCCCCGGGCACATGAGTGGCACCATGAGTGTGTCGTAAAGACCAGAGATTGGGCTTCAGAGTTGGGCACACCCGGGTCTGATCCCACTGCCTCTGCTGCTGAGCCATGTGACTCTAGCCTTGTAAAACCTCAGTTTCCTCATCTGAAAAAGAAGCTAATAATATAACACTTGTCTCTGCATTTCTGTGAGGCTTACAAACAATGCCATGACCTCCTATGATAAGAGCACAATAAAAGGCAGCTATTATTGTTATCACTTTTTCCCCTCCTCCAGAATATCTTTGAAATGAGTAAAATACCAAAATATAACCAATCTAATGCTATTGTGATCACTTCTCATCTGGTATTCTTATGTCCCTGAAGGCCAGTGGGAATGAAGTATTCACTGAATCCAGGAAGAGAAAGGCCTTTTTAAAGAGTTATGGCAGAGCGCTTAACGCTTCCATTTGACGTTAGGGGCAAAGTGTTCTTCCCTAAGGGGCGGCCGAGGAAGGGAAGGAAAGAACTCACTCAAGTCAGCGAAGCAGCCTGCGGTGGCTAAGAGGAGGTAAGCCAGGGTGACCCCAGGCGTCCCTCCTCTCTGCGTCCTCGCCATCCCACGCAGCATGGTGTGTCACAGAAGGTCCAAAGCCAACGTCCCATAAGCCGCCGGGGTCACTCAAAGAGGTACCGCAGTCCCCTGTGACACTGCTGTGAGGGAGAAAAGGACAGAAATGACCGTGGTGAGGGTGTCCGCGATGCCCCTGTCATAGCCACAGGGCCCAGCTTTGAACCTCGCTCCCTGCTGGCAGCATTCAAAGTGGAGACCTGGTGGTGCCGCTGGGAGACCAAAGAACACTCTCATGCCATTTCTCCGCTAAAAGAAGCTTCTCCTAAGTTGCCCCCTGGAGCTCCTTCCCTCGAGCTAGAAGGCGATTCTGCTGTGGTAAGAAGGCAGAGCCCTGCCCAGTGGACCAACAGCACCAAGGACAGGGGAGCACAGGACGTAGAGAAGCTGAGACCTACAGCCACGTCCAGGGCACGGGGCAGTGTTATTCTTACCATTGCAGGACGCCAGATGTCCACAGCCACGCGGCATGCCATGCGGCCAGTGCAGGCGACCGTGGACGCGCTGTGTGCGTGTAATGCACACCCAACGAGCCTTAAGGAGGATGCTACCAACCAGTGAATCCTGACGTCTCAGGGACTCGTGAAAGCTCTCCTGCTTTGATTTTCCTCAGCCCCGCTCTATACCTGTATCCCTCTGATCCCTTTTATTCCTGGCACCTGTATCCCTTTTATTCCTGGCATCAACCTGCTCTCCTCAGCTTGTCTGCAACCTCGACTCCCCCAACCACACGCACAGCCAAAAGTCCCACGTCCGCCAAGGCCCCCGCTTTCTCAGGGCACACAGCCTTGTTTCAGCTTCGCTTGCTGCCTCCCACTTCTCTCTGCCCCTGGTGCTGGAATTCTAGACTTTTCCTTCTCTACAGAACCTGTGCTCTCGGCAACTGCCCAGGTTGCATCTCAACAACATTTTCAACGACAATTCCTCTGGGGCTTCAGACCACGCAGCCCTTCCAGCCCCATGACGACACATCTCAGCTGTCACCACCACCCTCTGACCCGAGCCTAGAACGTGAGCGTCTCCCCTTCCATAGCATTATTCCTTTGGCCTCCCTTAAGCTGTGATCTTTAAATGATTTATCAAAATCACATAGGCGAGCACGTATTCTAACACACACACACACACACACACACACACACACACATGCTCTGGCTTAGCCAAAACCAAGATTTTACGTCTGTGTGTTTCACCGATGGGTTTACAGAACCTTAACAAAATAGGAAGGCGTATCAACACCCTCGTGAGGCAGGGAGGCATTAGAATGAGTTTAGGTAACATTTAACACAACCTTCCAATGATCTGGACAGTAGACCATGCACATGTGGCAATATTAACAGTATATTTCCAGGAGTGTGACATACATTCAAAATGTTAGTTCTTCTAGACCAATTTATCTAACTAGAGACTCTTTTGAACATTTATGGTCTCCATTGAAAAATCAGGGAAGTAGTTAAGCTTCTCAGCTGAGAGATGTGTTGTGTTCCAGCTGCCTGCACAGCTTGTTGTAAGAGGTGGTCTTGGGCCTTTCAACCCCTAATACTCCTCACATAGGGAACTCTTGCTCTGTTCTAGGAAGTGCCTGGCATTTGCCTAAACCTTTCCCTTCCCCAAGGCCCTGTGGCCCTCTGGCTTTCTGCCTGACGGCTGAGGGAGGGAAGAGGCCCACATCTGCTCTGCCCAACGAGCACCCTCCAAATCAGACCTAGGATGCCAGGCCCCACATGATGTTCAGAATGGTTTCCAAGAAAGAGTTCTTGACCTTTGATTTTTGTTTCCTCTCTTTGCTTCATGACTTTGACATTGGAGGACATATAAGACTCTTCGACTGCTCTGGGAAAGGACAAGGGGACATTTTCTAAAAGGTGTTTGAAAGACATTTTTTAAAGAAACTTTTCAAAAGTTCTTTCCTGGCAAGTTAAAATAATTGCCTGTTGGTGTAGACAGAGCTTTTGCTCTTTTTCACACAATCCAGTGAATCAAAGGGCCACGTTATTACCAACATGCAATTCGTGAAAGCTGCAAGGGATGTGAGAATGGCTGGGAAAGGCAGTGGTGGAGGGAGGGAGTGGGTGCCTGCTACTACCCCAGGTACTGCTAAGCTCTGGGCACAAGGTATCTCCTTCAATGTTCACATCAACCCTGCAAAGTCGGGACTAATATGTTCATTTTATAGGTGTGACAACTGAGTTTCAGAAGTTAAGTAACTTGCCCAAGATTACATATCTGTAGACCTGGATTGAAACCCAGGTTAGCTGATTCCAAAGTTCTGTGCATTTAACCACAATAGTAGCCTTTTCCCATTTTTTCCTATCAGGGTTCTGTACCCAGTGGGTATTTAACCAACAGCGTTGGAGTAAGGGTGATATAGAACAGTGAGGAATTTAATGGTGATTTCTAGAGGAAAAGTCTGTACCAAAGATCAAGCTTTTAGTGTCCTCCCAATTTTCCAGATACTTGCTTTAATTCTCTAATCTACTTTTCCCCAGCGAGATAATGTACTTATATAGGACACTGTATGAGTTCCCAGTTATGGGATTTTAGGGAACTCGCTTGTTAATGGCATGCCCCAGTTTCCCCAGCTCCTTAAGGAGACTGATAGCAAGTGTTCCTTCCATGCTTCAAGGAAGGCAGGCAGGAAGGCAAGAAAGGAACAAAGAAAGAGAGAGAGAGACAGAAAATGAATACAAAGTAATAAAGGGCAAAAAGAGAACAAGCAGACAAAGAGGGATGGGAGGGCTGTTTCTTATGAGCACAGGGTGGCTGCAGAGGTGTTTGGGTTGTAAAATCGGCAAAGGTTTTACTGAGGAAATTCAGCCCAGACCCCCTCCTGCTTAACAAGGACCAGCCAAACAATTTCTGTTATTTCTGCACCCTCGGTAATTTATAAGGTTCAAAATGGAAACAGATCCCACTGCTGCTGCCAGCCACCAGCCAGCCTTTAAAAGCAACAGAAGAAAAGAATGTATTTGGGGAGTGAGAGGGGGTGAGAAGATGCAGGTATCCAAACAAGGAGAGAGGAGTTAACCCGTTAATCCCCGTCATGGAGTTGTAAGCAATTACCACTTTAATGACCCCAAAACAGGATATGTGGGGTCCATTCCTGTAAAAGCAGAACTGTAACCAAAAACAATGGGTAGATGGGGATGTCTGGAGATATCATGCATCTTAATTTAGCAGCTGGGGAAACTGAGTCACCTTTTGGACTAAGTTACCTAGTACATTTGGTCTAGAAAGATAATCCTAAAGATTTAAGTATCTGAGAACTCTGTTTTAATGTTAAGGAAAAAAGGCAAAAAAAGGCTTAAGTTGGAGAAGCTAACTGCAGTGTAACTTTGTCCCACTGTGAAACGAACCAGGTACAATTGCAAAGTTCAGTGAAGGCAACAGTAAGGCCTGTTATTTTTCTTGGCGATGCAAAGTATGTCTAGATCCTTCTTATTTTCTTACGCATTTTCTCAGAAAAAGAGGAGAAATCAAGAAAAAAAAAACCAATGCAGAGAGAAGGAAAATGAATTTTTGCCATGAATTCCTCACTGAGTCCATTTTAAAGGGTTATTTGGACAAGAAAAAGGAGAGAAAATGTGTCTGAGTAGTTTAACTGCTGACATACACGGTCCCCACTGAAATAATCTCCTCCAAACAGATGTTTTTGGAACTCTCCAAAAACAACAACAACAAAACACACTTCTGGGGTTAAGACCCCATCATGAGAAACTGTTGCCTCAGAGTATTTATTTTTCGAGAAAATTACAAACAACTGAGAGTCGATCATCGTCTGGAGGAGGCCAGCTCCACCTCATCCCAAGAGGGCTGGCTGACTAACTGACCAAGGGTGAGACAAAGCCACACGGGCCTCATCCCCTGGACACCCACGCCACAGCAGCTGCCCCAGAAAGGGAGGCCTCCATGACCTAAAACACAAAGCACGCCCTTTGCATGTCCCAAGACTAATAACAAAGGTGAGCTGAATAGGAGAGAGTGTGATCTGGCAGACACCAAAAAGAGTCTTTCTTAAAAACACTCTTCTAGTGGCAGGAATGAGATGTGACCAAGTCTTTTGTTCCAGCTGAAAGGGGCCAGCTACATGGGAAAAAAAAAAAAATATATATATATATATATATATATATATATATTCCTGCTCCAGTTACATATTTTTTGTATGTTCCCAATTTTGAAGAGTAAGATTCACCTTTCCCAGCTGTTTTTGAAGGCAGAGAAAAGCTTTGCTCCTAGAAGGTGATGTCAAGTATTTGGGATGCAAGTGTTAGCAGCTCTTTTCTCAAAAAAAGAGGGTGATACTCCTGCAATGGGGGAAACATTGGGGAAATGAATATGTGAGTTTAGACAGATTTAGGAGAAGGGATTAAGAAAACTTATCAAAACATCATGTTGTATACCTTTACATATACACAAAAACAGAGGTCATTTTTACTTAAAAAATTGTACTTTATCCACAGATCTCATTAAAAGGAAACATTTTAAATCAGGAGGGACTTTAGAGAAAATAAAATAACAGCTTAGCATGATGCCTAATGCTTCAAGTGTTATAAATGATGTGTTTCAAGGCTGAATGAGACTGAGTGATTTGCAGAAGGTCTCCCAGCTAATTAAGGAGAGAGATTTAAGGTTACAAGTCAGGTCTTCTCACTCCTAGTCCGGTGCTTTTTTCACTATCCCAGCACTGCCTCCCAGCAATTTGTTTCTGAAGCCATATTAACCAAATGCTTAGAATTGGTTTTAGAACTAATTTCAGAATGTTTCTGAATTTACTTTGTTATGCATAAAGTAATGTTACCTGGATCATTATCTGTAACAGTAACTTCTGTGTGATCATTTTTTTCTTTTTTTCTTTCATCATCTACATCCTAATCTATAATAATCTCGGCTGTTCATTGCACAAACCCCTTCAATAGAATTTTCTGCAATAATGGAAATGTTCTATTTTTTGTTCTTTTTTTTTTTTTTATCATGTCCCAAATGTGTTCACAGGAATAGAATTGTTCTATATTTGTGCTGTGCAAAACACTAGGTAGCCACTAGCCACTTGTGACTATAAAATACTTGAAATGTGGCTAATATCACT